ACACACACACACACACACACACACACACACACACACACACACACACAGTGGTCATATTCACATACATCTTAAGAAGAAAAATGATTTAACAGATTCAGAGAAGCCACATACATGCCGTGCATGTACAAATGTCCATGGTTTAAAAAAATAAACATTTACATTGCATAGATAAAATAGGAAAATCCTGTACGAGATGTAGCCTGTCCTTAATCCAAATTATACATGTTGGATGCGCCACTTTTCTGCATTTTAAACTCCACAACAAATACCTCACGGTGGACAGATGCAGCACAGAGGCGCGTCTACATCGGCTACAACTTTACAGAAGGATAATACCTTAAATGAAGTTTGTTTTGGTTAAATATTAGAAAAAGATAACATGAAATAAGGTACGGTTTTCTTGATTTGTCCATAAAAATGCAGCCTTTGTGTTATGTGTCATAAAAGAATATATCTAACGGTATAAGACATTACATTTGTGTTGGTTTTATTATAGTTTTGTTGTTTTCTTACTTTACAATTTTACAGGAAAGAAAAATAACAGCAGAGAAGTTATTTACATGTTTCTACTGAAAGATGTAATTAAATGTCCTGGTAAGTGATCATTATGTACGTAATATCCAGTTAATCTCCAGGGAGAACGTCACCATCTTCAGTCTTTACGTTGTGTCCTTTGTTCAGCCTTTCAGTCTTTATTTCTTCTTCCTACTAGTAAAAGTCTGCCCAGGCGACCGGCTCAGTCCCGAGTCAGACCTACTTGCTCTTCTGCGAGCCAATCATCACCTTGGAAACAAAGTTGACGATGGCACTGGCTGGCTGCTCAGGGTCATGCTCTGCAAACAGGTGACACACATTGTCCATGGAAGTGCCAGTTTTCCTCGCCACAAAGCCAAAGATCCTGCAGAGGTGGAGAAAAACACTGTCATCTGCCTCAAAGTGACCAAGTTCCCTTTAAAAATAACTGCTTTAATGCTGCCCTGGTTGCACCAATGTCAAAAATAATCATCATCTACTTACTTTGCTGAATGGCAGCCATCTTTTTTCCACCTGTGAGCAGTGAAGGGAGGATGGTTATTGGCTTTGCAGAACTTTCCAACTGCACGTTCAAAATTAGCAGTGACAACGTGTAAAAAAAAAAAAAGAAAACGGCATACATTTTGACATCCCACATAATAACTGATTTGCCTAACTTTTAATCAGCAATACTCACTTTCTTTCTTGAGGGTCCAATGCACAAAATATGACGGTATTGACATTGTAATGCCTCCTGAAGAACAGCCTAAAAAAAAAAGACAGGGGGAGTGATTATTGTGAGGAAAAAAACCATCTCCGCATGTGTGTATGGTGTGAATATGCCTTGCGTGGCACTCACTTCCTCTGGTTGTCAGTGAGGGTGATCCCCTGGGAGGACACCTTGAAGTGAACTACGGTGGAGGTCGGTGGAGAGCTGGAGCTCAGAGACATACTGGTGGCTTTCTGCACCGCCTGGACGCCTGTTAGCGACTCCATCTCCACGGAGCCCAGGTACCACACATTACAGGCTGCGGGAACAAATCAGCAGATTCAAAATACACTCGGATTATGACTGCAAATAATGGTCGAGCAAGTGCCTTCAGTGGCAAGGTCCGTAATAACAGGGCAAGGACAAAACGTGTGGATCCGCGCCACTGAACACTGTTTTTGTGCCATTGCTCTGTCGTGATGTCTATTCAGAGCGAGTGATCTTAGACGCCTGATTACCTGCACCCTGTTTTAGCAACTCGGCCGCGGAGTTGGTGACCGACTGCGAGGTCGTCTCCACAACATCTTCAAGAGGATCTATGAACACAGAAAAGCAAAAAACGTCTCCGTGAACAAAGAAAGTGACTAAACAGGCCAGACAAGCTAAACAGACATATGGGAGGCCACAAAACCTAAATAATGTTTATCTTTTAAATCAGGTCTGTGACTGCGTGTGGAGCACTTACCTCTGTCAGGTATGATGAGTTGGCAGGGCAGGGCCAAGGGGGTGATTGAATGTTGGCAGACCAGCGCGGTTAAGCTTCCTGCAAAACAACAAGATATCAAATCAATACTACAGTGAGATCTCGTGAGGCTTTATTGTCGCATCAATTTCTGTGAGTAAACCACAACATTTCTGATTGTCTGATTGCATTGTTATCGACATATAAATGTGTTAGGTTGTAAGAAGTCCACTTTACGATTTTGTAAGATGGGTTTAGCATTAAAATGTCTGTAGATTTAAATAGGAACAGCTTCCTGTTTCAGTGTCAAGTGCACACTGAATTGTTTAAAACAGTATTCTCCCCTGTGCATGTAACACTGTGGAGAAATCGACTAAATGTAGGTTTTAATAATTGAATTCTTCATCATTTGGGGACAAAACTATTTCAAATGTAAATAACACATTTGGTGTCTGAATAATACTTTTTTTGTCTCCGTTAATAATAGTCATCGTTAAGGGAAAGGAGAAGATCATCAATATAGAAGATGACTCCAAAACTTTGAACGGTAGTGTTTATATACTGGATAGCTAAAAAAAAAAAAAAAAGAGGAAAGGAACATACGATGTAAAGCTATTACCAATAGAAACATAAAAAAAAAATGCAACTACAGGTCAGGGGAGGTTGAAAATACCATTAATCTGGTTAAGAAGGACAGATGTAAGCATGTAACAGCAGGCCGTGGATCGAGTGCTAGGTGCATTCCTGTGTCACATTAAGATGCAGACAACCAGCAGACAGTGGTACAACGCGCTGCACACCAACAGAGGGCAGTGTGGTGTGTGAAGTCCTGCACTTCGTGAGGTGCAGCCAAACAGCCAGACGGTGTCCCTGTTGTTAACCAGCTGTGAAGGGAGAAGTCTTAACAGAGTAGGTACTCACCAAAATAGGGCTCATTGGGGCAACCCTTCAACCGCACTCCTTTCTGTGTGCACTCAATCAGGAAGTGGCGCACCAGTTCATTGGCTAGATCGCCCCCTGCTTGCAAAAAGCACAGAGAGAAGAGACAGAAAGAGATAACAGCAGATGATCAATTCCTCCGTTTGAGCAAAACTGTCCTCCGTCGTACACCCTAGATTTACTCTGACCTAAATAACGGCCCCAAGCATTTATCTCAGTGCAGCATGTAATTTCCCCCGCCCCGAAGTGTAACCCAAAACATGTTAAATCGCCACATTCAGTCTCCCCGGAGATTAATGGGATTAGGATTCAACAGAAGCGCCTGCGAGGGGGCAGGAGGAGTTTACGTGAGGAATGTCTCGACACAAAGGCTCGGAGAAAGGCCCCGCTCCTTAAGGTGGGTTGAGTTTCACACTTCTGAGGAGCCACAATACTCTAAGCCGAAAGTGTGGAGAAGGGCCGCGTCGCGACGTCACCGCACACACAGGTGCCCGTTGGACTGCGTAAGGCTGAAGGCAAACAAAAGGACAGGTGTGAGTGGGCGGTGAAATTAAAGGGTCGGGCGCCGGGGTGGGCTGGTCCAGGAAGAGCATCCTCGATGGAATATAGTAAACATTCCCAACTCGTTTCTGACACACACAGTGTGTGATTTAATGTCCTCTGGCCCCTTCTCTGAATAACAAAAACATGATGTGTGAATCATCACTCAGTCAGCCTTTGTTTTCATGTTGAAACATGGCCAGATTCCTAGAGAGACGTTGTTTTATTTCTAAAAAAAAATAAAAAATCCTATTTCCTGAATATGCTAAACAAACACACTACCATTTTGACCCCAGTCCCTGGATGTGTTACGTCCATATCAGACAGAGTTATGTGGGGCAGACCGCTTCCCCAGGAGAAGGCTCTGGGATCAGAGTTGGCTTATGGACCAGGCACATCTTTTGTTAGGGGCTGAAACATTAGCTGAACAACAGGCTATCAGGGCAAAATGGGGTCTGTTCGGCTTCGATGATGCCCGGGAGAGAAACGCGGCGACGAGCTCTCACTCACACTCACACACACACACAAAACACACTCTCATATTCCAGCATGAAGGTGAGCACAGTGGGGCTGTAACTGTAGACGGCTTTGTGTGCGATGGCTGATTCCCAGGGAATCTGTACTACCGGACCAATCTGTGACAGGATATCTTCTTCATGATAACAGAAAGAGCCATCAACTTTATCTTTCTGCAGACTCTGTAGGCATGTAGATATTTTTGAATTTTGTCAGAGAAAGGTTAGCCGCTTCCCCCTAGCTTCCAGTCTTTATGCTAAGCTAGGCTAACCGCATCCTGCCTTCAGCTCTATACTTAACACACGCTGGTTTCTATCTTCTCATTGGAAGCCAGCAAATACGTGTATTTTTCCAAAACATTATTTCAAGAGAGAAAAAAAATTCAGAAAAGATACACAAACAATGAACCTGGGTCTTATTTTCAAACCAAATTTGTATAAACCAACGATTCCCATCAAAAGTTACTGTACCTTTCTTGGTTTGTTGGAGGACTGAGGGCGGAGGAGTAGCCACCTTCATCGCCAGCCCATAAGCCCCCCTGAAGGAATGGCTGTCCCGCACGATGAAGCAACCCGGCTCCTTGTCCTTCAGGACCAAAATGGCTGAGTGAAGAGAAACATCATTGTGAGTCGGCTCTGTAGCTCTGTGAAAAGTTTCCTTTCTTTTATTATTTTGGCACAAAAGTGGACACTGGAAGCGTACCTTGATCCCTTGAGATATCTGCCTTGTACCAGAATTTTGATGTGTCCTGCACAAATTTTACAGTAACCTGCTTGCCAGCCAGCACATCTGTAAAACAGAATTATTACGCAAAATAATCAGTACATGCTTCATTTGTCTGCTTCATTTGTGTGGGGGTTATCAAGCCATGTGACAGCAGTGATGGTGTTAGCTTCGTAAGGGGGGGGGGCCGCGGCTCACCTGGCAGAGGTGAAGCTGTGCCCAGCGTCTGGGCTGAAAGGTCTGGCAAAACGTTGGGGAAGGGAATACTCAGGGAACTCCCACTGTGTGGACTCGAGAACCCGCTGAGGGCCGGAGAAGCCGTTCCCAGCGAATGCTCCCCATCGGACGCCCTCTTCTTCTCAGGCAGAAGCGGGGGCTGCATCTGGAGCAGCTGTGACTGGCTCCGCCCGTTTACGGAGGTCAAAAGTTCCCTGTCCGTGCCTCCGTTTCCCAGCAGATTGGAGGCGGCGTTGGGACAGTCCGCGCCGTACCCGACACCCGGGTGGTCCTGCTCGTCGAAGCTTTGGGCTGGACTACGGCTGAGAACGTAGCGGGCCGTGCAGTTCCGCTGGCTGCTCCGAGGAGAGCTGTGGGCGTTGGGGGCTGGGTGGATGTGGGGGTGGTGCAAGGGAGGAGAGTGGTGGCCATAGTCCAGTGGCATGGAGTGCGGCGGCGGTTGTCTGGTCGAGGGATAGCTGCTCAGAGACGAGTGGCGGGTCAGGACTGGATGCTCTGGCCAGGACTGGCTCGTGGAGGAACTTTGAATAACAGAAAAAAATAAAAGGTAATAAACATATAGTATATTGACATAAGTCAAGTTTGCATTCTAATGTGGAACAAAGTTCAACTAAATATTCCAGGAAAATCTGCAAAGGAAAATGCAAATTAATGAGCGTTTCCATCCACTATTGTTTTTGAGAATATTAGTAGCTGGGCGATAAAGTTGGTGGCACTTTCATCAGGTACCATCAAAACTATTGAAGAAGAAGATAACTAAGAGGAAGAGCGCCAGTCAAATCTCAAATTAAAACCTGGAAAATGTGAAAGAAATATTGCATTTATGTTTATTTCATGTATTCCTTTGAGGAACATTACAGTCTCTCCACACAGATCGGATGTCCCAATCGGCCGTCTCTTTACTGTCAGGTGACCTTTAAGTCACATGCTTCATTATTCATTCGCTAAGTCTGCTTCCACTGCACTTTCTCACATCTTGTTTTTATTAATACACCAAACCGTTCCACCTGAGCCACGAGTAAAAATGTGCAATATTTCCCCCAAATTTCTAGCGTTTCCACTCATCTTAAAAACGTGAAGAATTCTGCATGAAAACATGCAAATAGGTTGGGCCTCATTGTTGACATCACTGGGGTTAGCTCTGAAGCAGATGACTTGCAGATTGTACAGTAATTCATGTAAAAGTGCTGCAAATACTCTCGATCCCACTGGAAATCAACACCAGTCTGAAGTTTCTTTGGGAAATTCTATCCTCTGGCACTAAAAACAATGTTCGGTGAAGCTTAAAGGTTCTGCGTAGGGCAGATCTGTACCTGTCTGTCCACTGAAGGGTCCCAACAATAGAGGCAGATTGTGTAGCACTTAGCGTCCTGTGGCAGTTGATGGAGGAGTCTGGTAAACCATCGCCTCCAACATGACTGATCATCTCTGAATATCCTCGGGGTTCTGTGTACGAGAAAACAAAACCAGAAATACAAATTCAAGCACATTTACAGATCACATTCACGTCGTCAAGCGCTGGTTTTGTTTTCATAATGCTGAATTCAATGAAAAGGAACACAAATACATTGAATCTAAAACAAAAATCAACCCAAAACAAATGAAAATCAGCTGGCTGTAACGAGCAGAACTGTGCGATATGGCAGCAACTCTTTTGGGGAGAGCTCTGGGTTCTTTCCAGTAACAAACAATCAATATTGGAGTTGAAATTAAATAAAAACTGTCCGCATGGCCATCAATCCACATAAAACCACTCACCAATTACCCTCTGCCACAACCCACCGAGTCAACAAATCTGACTCCGTTGCAGCTAGAAATTAAAAGCCCTCTGACATAATTATCTAAAAGCTTTTATTTCAAATCAGCCAAAGCCTGGAGCCACCAACGGCTCCGGATCTGGCTTCTCTCTGGGTTACTCTCACAGGAATGAGAGGTGCAAAGCGGAAAGAGTTGCTTTTTTTCTTATTGTCCAAATTTCCCTTCTGTGTGCACGGAGACACTTTCATGGGGGGGGGGAACCAAAGTGTTGTTTTTTTTGTGCCGTGCCTCCTGACCCACAGTAACCATAGAGATGTGGCGAGACTGAATGTGGCGATTCTTTCCCGGGTGTCTGAGGCAGCGAGAGGCACAGCAGGGACGCCAGCCTGCTCCCAGGCCCTCCAGCCTTTAGACTAACTCTAGATCCATGGAAACAAGTCCACAGGAGGTCAAAGTAGAGTGGAAATGAAAGTATGTGGGTTGTTCCTGAACATGTGCAATCTTGTGCATCTGTGACAACACTGATCCCAAAACATGCCAAATAAAACACAGCTAACTTAAAGCTGCTTAATACGAGGTTGGAAGCATTTCTATTTACTCTCAAAGGCTCTCAACATGGCGACGGCTGGGCCGGCGGCTCGCGGCTAACAGTGCTAACAGTGCTAACAGCGCTAACAGCATTAACGGTGCAAACTACGGCTAAAGTGCCGACAGACCGAGCAGTGTTTATCTAAGGGAAAGCTGGTTGGTCGGGACGGCGCTATCAGCTGTATTTGATTAAAATTATTTTTGATTTAATTTGAATTATTTAAACGGCTTGGGGCACAACATATACTTCAGTTTTCTCCGCTACTTCTATGATCAAAAAATCCCTAAACAATAAAAAAACATGAAAGGATCTTCTGACAATCTTATAGCCAGGGTGTGTTCGACCTCATACAAAAACAAAAAAAAAAGGCTCCGTTTTAATCTTTACATCAACACTGTTATGTCTAAAAAAATGTTTTAAAAACCACACAGACATTCTCCAAAAAACCAAACATGCAGGGCACAGACTGGTTAGGAATCTCCCTCCTTTCAACATTTATGAGACGTCTTTGTTTTCGGGCCTCAAGTCTCAAAACCTCTCAAAATTCCACAAACAACAATGTCATTATTATCAGGTAAAGCCAGAGGGACCTGAAATAGCGACGCTCTAATGAGATAGTGGATCCACACACATGCAGTCGCAGGGCAGACATGAAAGAAGACTCTTGCAATTAGCTCCTACTCACTGCCTGCATTTTTGTCACTCACTATCTTTAATTGGTTCAATGGAAAAATACAAGCTGACGTTAAGAGCGTTTGCACAAAGAAAAACAGTCTTAATGGGTTGTGTTTAGTTCTTCGCAGCAACTTGGTGAACTGTTTATCTTCCTATGATAAAGTGCCTCAAATCCATAGGCTCAGAAAAAGGTCAAAAGATCCATATTTTTAGATCACAATGGACTGACATTTCTGCATTTTATATATATACAACATGAAATTATACTGGGAATTGTTTTTTATACCATGGTTCTGTTTTCCAGCGTCTATTCTCGAACACTGACCACTTTTTCTTCCCTCAGCTTGAAGAATCTCCATAATAGATTCATACGTTTGCGCTCAGTTGGCGTTTAGTAGAGATTTGCACCCACCGTGGTCCATTCTGTAGCCTCCATAAGACTGCATGCTGGGAGATGGCGTTTGCCTGAGGTGAGTCAATTCCGACATATTTTTCACTGTAAAAAAAACAAAACACAAAGGAGACGAGGATGGGAACATTTAATTAAACGGGACAAAGAAAGCTGGTCGCAAGCACTTGCAAACTCCGTCACTTACCATAAGGTGTTGGTGGAGAGATGGGGAAGGCGGGAGTGGGCGGAGCCATGTCACTCCCAGCCTCGACCCCGCTGTCCATCTCCGGGCCCTGGGCCCTGTAGTCCGCACTGTCGGTCCTGTACAACATGGGGTGCTGCAGGCAAACAACACACACTTACAAACATGTAACCAACCAGAACAGAACAGAACGATCCATGAGGTGGGAAGGGGCTCGTTGCACACTGTGCTCATGTGCTGCACTTACCTGGGACTGTGGCACGCAGGGGGAGAACTTCCGCTGGCCCCTGTACTCCTCCGTCACACCCCACCCTGAGGAACAGAAGCCCGGTTGATCCGTGACATCATTTCCTTGGCGACTCAGGATCCGCGTGACGCCCGCCCGTCCGTCACTGGACTGGACAGCTGGATACACACAAGTAGACAGCAGCAACCAGATCATTAATATTAGCAGGTAAACAGGCATCGCTGACTTCAGGGAAGCAAAGTACATTTAAAAAAAATAACACTCACATAAAAAATACCAGCGCTCCAACCGTTGGTACCTTTTAGGGAAGTATTACATGTTTTTTTCCAAAACTGCATCTTCCTCTAGTCGGTACTATTGAATACCGACTTTGACGGCAACTCTCTGTAAAAGGTTTGGGAATGATGACATTTGAATTCAGCCCATCAAGTCCATAAAGTGACCATGGGGCTACTGCCTACAACCATGTTTTGAGAGGACAGCTGAGGAATGCCAGGAGGTCTGGCTGGAGTGAGTGTGTGTGTGTGTGTGTGTGTGTGTGTGTGTGTGTGGGGGGGGGGGGGGGGGGTCAATGTTGTGACAACTCTGAAGAGTGTTGCCACTCAGCACCAGGGTGTTAATTTGAGCCCTCCCAGCGAGCTCCGACCTCTCAGCCCTAAAGAATGCTAATGGTGCAGAGGGGCTAATGCCGGGGATCATTACTCACTGAGTCTGGGTGACACTGACATACATACTTGTCCGTGTTCTTTTTTTCCCTTTCTCTTTCATTAAATGCATCAGTGTACTAGAGGCACGAGAAACATTCGAGCAATGGGTCTGAATAGTGGGAGACCTTCTTTCTCTCCAATGACACACTTTCACCGCCATCTTTTCTGTCCCCTAATATACCCTGAAGAGTAGAGTCGGGCAATATGAGGATAAACACAGTAATGTGAGGCAACATAGATTTGGCTATTTCCCCTGAGGCGGCTCTTCTTTGAGGTCCCTAGTTGTGTCGGGTTGTTGCAAATCAATGAGCAGGATGACTTTAAGGCTATATTGACAAAAAAACATTCCCATATGGTTACCTTAGCTAGACATTATTTCTCACTTGAATTTTAAATGTACTTTATTATAATATGGCGTTACAAAAGTACATACACTAACAGACGAATCGATCCACAACGCTCATCCATACTAAAGAGGACTCGTACACTGGGACATTCAAGTGCAGCAGGAATGAGTCCTAAAGCCTGGAAATGAGTTCCGGTCCCCTCGTCTCAAAGTCAAAGTGTTTTCGGTTTGATGCCTAAAATAAGGTCTGTGTTTAGCACAAGCTTAAGAGATTTTTTCCATTTTGTTCCACGAATTAAAATATGTCAGTAAATACTCTCGTGAATTTTGAAGATTTTACATGTCCTAAAAAAAGCTAGCTGTGGCTAAATGCGACCGCGGTAGTTTGTTTCTAGCCTAGCGTTAGCTTATTACTTGCTGCACGAAAAGTGTAAGCATCAAAAACTTGTGTTTGCCACAGAGCTTATATTCTGCAATAATCCAAAAATCCAATGGAAAAATCCCATTGGCTCTTTAGAGAGGAAACCAAGGCTCTGGGGTTGACATACAAACATATGACGTCCCTGCAGCACTCTATTTGATCCAACATCATAAAAATAGCACAATAATTCATCAAGTGAATACTGACATTAACATATAAGATATAAAGAAGATGAAGAACTTTGCGATGCACCAAATTCTCCTGCAAGCTTTACTTTTAGAGCATCCCCGACCTTCCTGAATTTGTCCCCTCTCATCAGTTGCTCGATGTCAGTCCCAGCCCCCCTGACACATCTTAAATACTGTAATACTTCCTCCTCTACCTCCATCTTCTCTGTTTCTTTCCTTTTTTACAGTAAAAACAATAACAAGATGGGAGGCGTGGTGCAATGACGTGACGAGACGGGCAGGAAAAGCGTGACTGGTCTCGTTACACGGATACTGTAACTTGCGCCACTCAATATAATCCAACCAGCTTTCCCTCGCGATAAATCACTTCATGCTGCAACACAGCCAGGCAGACTGACTCTGAGCAAACGGATAAAAGTCAACATTAACAACAATCCCGTACTTCCTGCCGGTTATCTGCCAATGAGCAAAACAAGTTATTGCCTTTGGCGTTTGTTTCATGGAAGGACGCTTCTCTGTGCTTGATATGCACAGACAGGTATGCCTTTGGATGCGAATGGAAAAAGCATTGCCTCCGGCCTCACTTGTTCCTCTCTTGGAAATTCCTCAGGCCTCCCCATCTTGTGCCCCCCTGCAACCACATGCACGGTGTGATTCAAACACTGCTATAGCATCCACGCAGCTTTGTGCATTTTCTCTGCTTCGCTGGTTCTCAGCCAAAGAAAGAAAAAGACCGTTTCATTGCATCTAGTGTGAATGTTCAAGCCAATAGCACCAAACCTGATAACCTGTAGGAGTGAGCCAAATCTGAAAAGGGTCTATTCTCTGTAGCATCGGAGAGAGAGGCATTTTGTAATCTTGCTCATTTCTACGAAATTGTACAGCTTATTGGTAGAAGCGCACACGCAGTGACTGAAACAGTGTTTTAAGATCATAGAATAGCCTCCCGGGATCTGTCCTGGAATCAGTTTCAACATGAACAAAGTGGAAACTATTACTTGGTGGATGTTTACTACGTTGCATAACCTCCGTCTGCGCGACAGACACAACAACAACAACAACAGTCAAATGAGAAAATGTATATAAGAACGCATCACCGCTAAGAGCTGGACAGACGAAAGTGTGACGAACGCGGGACGACGAAACGGAGAGCATCTATTAGAGATGACTAACGTCTAATGAAAGAGCTAAGCAGTGGGACAGTCTGAGGGAAACACTGTGATTTAGTAAATATCCATGCGCCTCAGAATGCAATCATCTACCAATCAAACACAGAGAGACGGCGATGTTCAGGTCGGTGACAGCTGCTCTCCCTCTCTCCGTGCACCGTACTGATCCTCCACTCAGATAACTGCACAGACAAGTCTGGACGGCGCTCTACCCCCCCCCAAGATTCACACTGAAAACATCTGAAAAGCTGGCAACAGCCCTGCTATTTCTGCCACTAAAACACGTGAGGTGGGAGAGGGAGAGGAGGAGTGCTTTTGTGAAGTTAACTCTGTCGTTGAATGGAGGAGAAAGGCAGATGCTGTTGGAGAGGGCCGTTTGGAAATGCTCCGAGCACGTTAATTAAAGCTGTTGATTATGTTTATTAGATGGTTCTAGCAAAAACATCTCCTCTGGTTTCATAATGGCCCGACACACATGTTTCACATGTGTTTCACGACTGGGCTTCCACACCACATCATCATCATCACCACCACCACAACCACCACCACACCCAGACTGTCTTACCTGTCTGCTGTGTGTTTTTCAGGGCTGTTGCGGCGTTATTATCGCTGAATCTGAGATCGATGCCGTTCGGGCACTTGGAGACCGAGCCGTTCGTGCGCGTCCCGCCGTTCCTCTTGAGGGAGCCGCTGTGGCTGGGAACCGGCACAAATGTGGGATCCAGGTCCATGATCAGCTGGTTGAGCTGGTCGATGGAGTTATCGATGTCCATCGTCAGGGACTTGAACTCCTCGTCACGCTGGTGGTGGTTGTTGTTGTTGTTGACCGTTGCCTGCTCCTTGTGCGGTGGCGCGCTCCTCAAAGAGTCCGTCGTCATGTCCCTTGCGGGGCCCTGGGGCTCAGTGGGCAGGCCGGCCTTGGGTGAACTGCTCCCTTGCTTGTTCCCTGGGTACCTCTCCGTGTCGTTCCCGTCCTCGGGCATGTAGATAAACTGCTGCGCGGCGACCAACTGCTGCTGGCGGACCCAGGACTGCGTGGAATAGCTGCCCTGCCTGTAGACGTGCTGCTTGGCCGTGGGAGCACTGCTGGGATTAGCGGAGGCCACGGAGTTGCTCCTGGAGCTCAGGCAGCCCCTTCCGGCCTCAGCGTAGGCCCTCTCGAACTCCTCCGTGGGAGGGGGTGCCGGGTGGTGGAGGTGGTGCTGGTTTTGGCTCTGCTGCTGCTGCTGCTGCTGCTCCTCTCCTCCGGGACTCCCGAAGCCGTCCGACAGCAGGGAGTTCTGGCTGCTCTTGTGGCAGGAGGACGACAAGGTCCCTAAGCTGTCCACGCTGTGCAGATCGTGACCCGTGATGACCTCATCGTCCAGGATGTCCGTTTCCCTCTCTCGGGGTCTGGGGTCTCCGTTGGTGTGCACTTGCGCCGGGACTATCTGCTGGATGACCACTCTGGGCCCTTGATCACCCATCTCCCCCAGTAAGGAGTCCTCGAGACCGAAGCCACTTAAAAGGCGCTTCAGCTGGACCTTTTCCTGCTGGCTGGGGCCCTGGTTAGGCCGGATGGTGGTGGTGTTGGTGGTGGTGGAGGTGGTGGTAGTGGTGGTGATGTTGGTGGCAGGGGCAGGTGCGGGTCTGTCTGCCCACAGAGAAGTGCTGGACAGGCCCGAGTCACTGCTGACGGAGAGGGCGTGGTCGCTGTGGTCGGGGCTGGAGGTGGCGGAGGTGGTGCGGGCCCCTCTGCCCAGCGTCGCCTCTCCTCCGCCGGGGCTTCTCTTGTTCACCGCTTTGTCCCGGGTTAGGCCTTGAGAGCGGGGCGCTGCAAAAATAGAAGAAGCGCTTCATACGGTCAGCTGGCATGGGCACACGAACACAGAAGAGACACACACAGAGAGCAGCGGGGGGGGGGGGGGGGACTCACGCAGACGAACACAAGCGGCACAAAAACCACACTCCGTCAGCATGCACGGTCCTGTCAGCCCACAAAAACTCCCGTCATTCAGAATCTGTTCTGGACAAAGCTCAATCACACCTCACCTGACGAAGACAACATTCCAGACAATACAGAGCAAACATCAAGACTGCAAATAACTAGGATAATAACACACTGACAGAGAAGAAACATGTGAATCAACATGTGGAGCAGATCACCTAATTAGGATGTGTCAGAACAAAAATCACCCAAAATGTTTATATCCCTCTTTTTGAGATTCTAATCAGAGTTTATTCCAAAGACATTCCACTCATTCTGCCCTGACAACTCCCCACCAGTCTTCGAAGTGAACTGCCACGGTGCTAGTGTATGCAGCGCGCGCCGCAGACAAAAGGGGTTTTTCTCATGCTCGGGTTATATAATAGATGTTAAGTTCTTCAGGCGGCTGTGGATCCTCAGCGTCTGACCCCTTGCATTCCTCACCCTGCCGTGATTGAGCCACCCTACTCCCTCTCGCCTGCCCCTTGACCCCCCCTCAGCATATGTCCAAACAACCTCCTTAATCACTTTCGCAAGTAAGAGTCGAATCCATCACAGAATAAAAAAAAAACAACAACAAAAATCAAGTCAAGCCTTTTACTTACGCAAAATGAGGGCCGGAGGAGAAGTGTGCCTCGCTGTCACTCTCTCCTCAACAATAGAGAGCTAGAACATGACTCCAGCGATTCTCCCTCAATGTGCCGCCTTAAGTACTTGCCTTTCAGTCAAACCATGACTGGAGGATCTGAATACCAGACACACATGATAAAAGCTCCCTCCTCCTCTCCAAAAGCTGCTGTATGTATGGCTTGCCCCCCCCCCTTCCATTGCTCACATGCTAGTTGAACCTGCATCCGGCCTTGAGCAGCCTCGGCTCAGGCCTCCATGCAGGTCAGTTCCGCCTGGGAGTTTTCCCCAACAAATCCCTCTCGTAACATTCCTACTGGCAAGGTGCAAGCAGCTTTCGAGACAGATGTTTCCCCCTTTTCCCCCCTCAATGCAGGCCCCTCTTCATCTCACTCTGTCACCCCTGTCATCGTGCTGCCTCCCTTTTTCCTTTCCCTCCCCCTCGCGGCCACCCATCTGTCTCAAGAAGCAGAAAAAAAAAAAATCTCTTACCTCCGCTTCCACTGCCAGGTAAGCACACAAGACAATCCCAGTCTCGGGGAAAACAAAACTCACAGGGGAGAAGAGGCAACGCAGGCACACGAGAGCGGACATGGCTTTTAACCAGCAGATAATGGTAAGGGGTCAAATCAAGAGAGCACCAAGAAGTTGGCCCCTTGCTTTCTTCCTCTGCTGAGAAGGTGAGAGTGCTTGCACTCCACGCAATGGGGGGGGCCTTGAGATCTCCAAATAAGGGCAGAGGAATGTAAACAAGTGAGGCGGGGCTTAGGTGTGGAGGCAGGCTGGAGGAGAGCCGTAACCCGACCTCTTGTCCTACATTAGGGGACTACCCCACTGGGGAGAGACGGGAGGAGAGAAGAAAAGAAAAGAAAAGAAAGAAAGAAAGAAAGAAAGGGCGGCCTGGAGAGGATCAGAGAGACCACATTCCTGCAGCTTCAGACTTTTCTTTACTCTGTAAAAAGACACGTTTTAATTAAATCAATCCCTGCCTTCTACTTGAAGCTCGGAGAAGCAGAAGCCGAGTTGTTTTTCCTCTCCCTCTTTGTGTGTCATGAAATTGCACGCCTGCCGTTCTCATGAACAATATCGGCGAGAAACAGATGTGCCCGAAACTCAATTGTGGGGTTCGGCAATTGTAAAAAAAAAAAGAAAAAGAAAAAAGAAGCTGTTTCACCTATCGGGATTACACTCCCATTGCATGGTTAACCGAGTGTGTTCCCGACTTAAGAAAATCAGTCAAACCCTTTATATCCAGCATTCATCATGTTGGCTGTTGTGGTGTGGCCAGTCCCCGAATAATCCACCAATTACAGTGCAGAGAGCGGTGAAACCAGAACCGTTCCTCAAGCTGCTCTCACAGGAGGAGGTCTGGTTGTGTATGGATATGCAATTACCCAACCCAGTCCCATTCCTTCTCAGTTACTACCTACTATCCCGCACCTTCTGAATGCCACAACCGTGAGTCAAAAAGCATAATGATGATCATCTGCCCAGAGCTTCTACATGTGCCTCTTGTGGGTAGACTGCAGAATAAACACTCATATGGAGGGTAAGCTCCATTGTGGAGGAGTTAAACTGCGTTAAACGTTTTCTCACATACCCCTGGTGGTGTCTTGCCATGCAGACATTTTGAGATACGTCAATAGCACGAAGGTAAATAAACATTAGAAAACCACAAAGCATTTCCTTGCAGAAGCAACATCTCAGTTAATCTGGGTAATCCAAAGACTTAGGTTGTTTTCTCAATTATTTTTTTGCAACTTTTCTTACATTTCAAGTAAAGTGTGTGGTATGACACGGGCAGCACAATACTTGTATACGGGAGCTGGGTTGCAGCTAATCAGTTGCTCGGTACGGTTTTTTTCATTAACAGCAGCAGTACAGTTGTCCTCGGTTGGAGGGTTTTCTGTAGTGACCTCTTGAAAAAGGAAATGGCCATTTTTATAACTGTAACTGTTTTTGTGGTCCCAAAATATTAGATTATGTTTGACCGTGAATTGGTGGTCTTAGTCTGGTCTGATTAAGTCCCCCGTTTCTTTTTTTGCGTTGTGTTTTCTATTCTATTGTATGATTGAGATATTAGATAAGTTTGTGGCTGTGAACAGTCTTCATTGGAGTTACATTCTACCCTATGAAAACAGATGAGAGCATGGTCCGAGAACGATCCAGACCTGGTTCTGGAAAGACGACGCAAATGCATTGAGGCAGGCAGCAGAAAGCAGAGAACCAGATATCACAAGCTGTCTGCATGGCTACACACTGCCAGAGGTAGGAAGAAAACCAAAAATTCACGGGAGCGATTACCATTCAGCACTTCTCGGTTTTAATATTCACTATCGGATATTCATTTCCGCAGCCGGCAGCTGTGTGGCCGAGCTTACACAAAGACGGCAACCTACAGTAAACTTAAGTAAACAAGCTTTCTGGAAAAAGCAATCCTTTAAAACCCAACGCTTCATTCACACGTGGGGATAAGCACACACTCTCAGCGGTGGTTGGAGGGAAGCCATTGAAGTAAATGAGGTTGTCTTTTCACAACCGTAGCACTGCAGTGGCAAGCGTCCTTCAGACTTCCTCCTCCCGACCGGCCCCTGAGTGACAGCCTCTCGGAGTCAAACTGGGCCTGCCGGAGGACTGCTGGTAAGTAGATGCAGAATTCCAACAAAGCTCCCAGTCTCCCGTCTCAGATGTAGTGTTTACATGAGAAAGCAAGGCTGTAAATATCCCACATGAATGCTTTGGAATTAAGGCAAGAGAAGAGGGGGGGGGGAAACAAAATCCTCCTCTGTTAATATCTGTGCTCGGCTTTGATGATTTCTTAAATGTGAGTGTTTCGCTCTTTCATTGCATTCCCAGAGGTGTGCATAAAGTTATATATGGACGTGTTGGGGTATTTTAAATGAAAAATGAAAAATGAAAAATAAAAAAAAGCCAGCTCATTTTCATCAAGCTGGAAGTCGCTTATAAAAACACTCAATGAATCCTGGGAAAGGGTGGATCTGTGTTATAAAGCTACCACCACGTCGCTCTATTCTGGGAGGTTGTTGTGAATTCTGTGGTTGAGTGGAGAGCAGCAACCGCAGCCAGGACGGGACGTCCCAACAGGGTGGCTCAGAGTGTGAGTCTATGTGTGTATGTCTGTGCAAGGGTTACTAAGAGTGTGTATATGTGTGTGTGTGTGTGTGTGGGATGGTTAAAGCATGCCTATTCATTTGATGAAACAACAAAAAAGAACTTGAGAACCGATTGCTCTTCCTCCGAACCCAGTATACATACAACAACACTCCCTATCCCTCATGCAGAAACAACACTGCCCATCGCACAGCAACATGAAGGTAAAGTTCAGCTTCCTGTCCTTCCCTCGCTACAATAAAAGCCTCGTCTCCACAGGGCCTGCCCGCCTGGGTTGCAAGTCCCGCTTGTGAGCAATAACTCCCGCTAGCGCTGCTTGCAACGCAAACTAAGTTAGTGGTGACTGTGCGCCCATGTTAATGCAATCACACTGCAGCACAGGACCCGTCACACTGCGTGTTAATTCCCTGAGAGGAAAAGAGAGCTTGTGTGTGTGTGTGTGTGTGTACAGTGGAAAAGTAATATTTAATGTCTAAATAACCCCCTTTGCATACTTCTTCCCTTCATAAAACAGCCATTGATATTTTGATTCATTAGGCAGACCATAGCTTTGTCAGAAAGTCTTGTGAGTCATGTGGTGACTGATGCAGCGTTATAACTGTACCTTCACCGTCACAGATGTTCTGGTAGGAGTCCCAGCGGATAAGAGGATCTGCTGTGTTGTAGTCCACGATAACATCTGCCCCGTTTTGCCACCTGTCGGCACCTGGACCCAAAAATAACAAATTTGTTTATACTGCATCTAGATGTTGAAAGGAGAGTAGTATTTATAAAATAATAGTTGTCATTATCAATTTTTTAAACACATATGTATGGATTAAACAAACCATACAGATTGTGTTAATTCGTGAGCTGTGTTTTTCTGCTAAGCTAAGCTAGCTCTTGCCTGTAGCTTCATATTTACAGTACAGACGTGATATCTTCATCCCACTCTCGGCAAGAAAGCTACCAAGCGAAACTATTCCTTTAAAAATAGCCTTAGCACATCATGGGACAATTGGTTTATTCTTCCACCCCTGATGCTGTAGATCGAATTCATATCTACATCCATGTTGGGGTGGTGGGCAAAAATATCACACTTTTGATCAAATGACCATCACATGCCCCCCCCCACAAGAAACTAGCAGATGTATACAACACATGCTGCACATACACAGACCCGCACCACATAGTTTCCCTCCTGTGGGGCTCTGGGGCAGCACATGCTGTGCTTCTGTACCTCTCTGTCAGCACACACTTCACACTACATTTCCCCTCTGCAACATTCCACGTCCCTTCTCACCAGGGGGCAGAGGGGGAGGCCCGGAGCACAGGACAACGGGAAGGGGAACACGGAGAAAGGCTCTGTGTCTGCTTTTTCAACTACCTCTCCCTGTCGCAACTACCGAGAATAAAACCCACAAAGA